TTCCGATGCGTCGGAAGTCGAGAAGCTGGTGCTAGCGGATGCCGTTAGGCAGCACTCTATATCTCTGCGCTTCGTCCCGTCCGAAGGAAGGAAGTGGGGGGACCCGTGGGCGTTTGCGCCCTCGGCACATAATGAAGCTCTAGCACCGTGGCCTCCGACCAAGCGGGAGAAGTTTCACTAGCGGATCCTTTAGCTCATGAAGGTTTCGGAGAGACCCTCTATTGTCCTTTGCTTGCGGTGAGATCATACACCGTTAGGCGGGCGTCTACCTCAGTGCCCTTTCTTCCCACCGTGAGCAGAGCTCGGACCGGACACGAGGCTGGCGTTCATCATTCCCTGGGCGGATATCTGTACTCTGAACAATGCCAGAGCTCCCTGAATCCCACATGCCTGCTTATGGGCTCTGGGATTCCCTTTGTACTTTCGCTCCGCGTCGTGAGTCGGTCATGAGATGATGCCGACGTTCTTCCGCTTCTCGGGAAGCTAGCGTGGGGCTAGAGTGATATATCGATACACTCATAACGACTAGGATCAAGTCGACGCCTCCCATCTCCATACCCACGATCCATCTGGAGCGTCCCTCCCATCCGCATTGCATGGCCCAACGCACGAACTACAGCACCTGCCTAATGCGGAAGGAAGGTCGACATGCCGGGTTGCGTCATTCTTCGCCTTAGGCCTGCACCCATGCGCACTCTCCTGCCTGGACGCATAAATACAGGTCGTTCGGGACTACGTGCTCCCTCTTCCGACAGTCGTCAACGAAAGCGATCACGACCGGTCGTCCTCAGGTCTGCTCCCCTCGTTTCTTGATGTTACCGCACACGCCCTCCAACATTACCTCACTTCAGGTAGCTTTGATACCCCTTGCAGCACAAGATCCCAGTAGCCATGCCTACCATGCGTGCAGTCGTCATCAAAGACGGCAAGGGCCCCGTTGAGAACCTCTACATCGGTGAGATCGAGCGGCCTGTGCCACAACGCGGCCAAGTCCTCGTCAAGGTACCGCACCACAGCTGGGGCCCACACACCCCAAAACTGACACGCAGCTTCTCGCAGATCAAGGCCTTCGGCTTGAACCGCATGGACATCATGCAACGCGAGGGGGGCTATCCCCTGCCCCCAGGCGCACCGGACATCCTGGGCGTCGAGTTCTCCGGAACAGTCGCGGAACTGGGCCAAGACACGGGTGAGAAGGTCCATGTCGGGGACGCGGTGATTGGCTTGGCCCTCGGGGTGCGTGTACACGAGCTTCTTCCTGCGGAACCGCTCTGCGCGATCACGGAGTGTTACGGACTGCCTGACCTGACGGGCCTCCGCAGGGCGCGTACGCGGAATACATCCGCCTCCCGGAGACGAACGTGATGCCCAAGCCTGCGCACCTGACCTGGGAAGAGGCCGCGAGCATCCCCGAGAGCTTCTTGACTGGTGCGTGTGCCCAGGCGGGCATTTTTCGCCCCGTCACAAACGATGCTGATTCGCGCTGGCCCGCCCCGCGCGCCCCACCCAGCCTATCAAGCACTCGTCCTGATCGGACAATGCAAGCCAGGTGACGACGTCCTTGTCCACGCCGGTGCCTCCGGCGTCGGCATCGCGGCCCTCCAGCTCGCGCGGTTCTGCGGCGCGTAAGTGGGCCCCTCTCGCTCCCGCATCCCATGCGGCACGCAACCACCCCGCGCTGACACACACACACACCCCTCCCGCCCTTTGTCTCTCTTTGCTCT